CACACACACACACACACACATATATATATATATTTATATATATACATATATATATACATATATATATATATATATATATATATATATATATATACTATATATATATATATATATATATAGCAATGTATTGCTCTGGGATTCCCTCAGCATTTACCTATGGCTTTATGCCAGCCACAGTACACACCCCATCTGTTCGCGTAACACTCTAATGTATACACACCTGTTCTTTGGGTTGCTCATATTAATTGGACATATCAACAACTATGTGCTGATCTAAAAGCCGGTACACATATACACGTATAACAACTTCAAACCGTCTAAATTTTTTAAGCATGTTGACATTCATACAGCGACTCCCAAGCAGATAGTCTTCGGACGATACCAACAACCACTCTTTGGTCCTGTACAGCCTCCGGAATCAGGTACTGACCCTTTACTGACCCTGGTTCTATTTAATATCGCTTTAGAGAACGTAAGCACATGATTACAATGTATGTACGGCCGCCGTATCTTTTCTTCGATCGCATACACCTATATATATATATACCTGGTGTAGAACCTTATAAACTGCTTGTCAGAGGCTCTGCACTCGCACGCGTGATTTCGCACAAACACACACACACACACATGCACACACACACGAACACACATGCACACACACACACATGCACACACACACACACACACGAACACATACGCACACATGCACACACACACACACACACACACACACACACACACACACTGCTGGCCACGTATGTAAGCGTTTCTGACATTGTCTATGTGCCATCTTGTAGATAACAGACAGGCCTTCTACGGAGCGTTGGACGACGTTCGAGTGTACACAAGAGCATTAACACTGTCTGAGCTCAGTGACGTGCACCACTCCCGACCACAACAACGCCTAGACAATCTGCTGGCCAGATTTACCTTTGACAATGAGGGACCACTCATAGAGGCTGTGGGCGAAGGGAAGGATAACTTTACCGTATATACTGGTATGCTTGTGTATTGTACAGGATCAGCTTGAAGTGTTGGTTCGGTGTGAAGAGGCGAGTATTACACAGGCTTCAATAGTGTAGGATGTGTCGTCGTGTCAGATTTTCGATCACAGCGATTGCCTGACAACCAACCCGGCTGTCTAGTGCACCTCCGACAAAGGCGCATGAGCATTAACCGACTGGCCAAGTTTCATGTACGGACGATACGCTTCTTAAAAAGACAGTTGCATGCACGTATTGTATTAATGTATTCGTGTGCTATGTTGTCATGTTAAATTGCTAACCCCTATCTGCGCATTCGTCACAGACGAACGGGCTGTCAATTGTTTTAAGTGTTACAATGGAAGTGCGATCTCTATCAAATAGTGTGTTCATATAAAGATACACTACATATACCTTCGTACTCATTCCAGCAGCTTGATAAGTATCACACGTTGTGTTCATCAAATGATAAATTATATATATCTTAATACTATTTCGTTTCAGGTGATGGCTACCAAGTGTTCTATCCCACGTTTGATGTGTCGTCGGCACCACTGTTCACCATTCCCACTGATTCAAGCACGGAAAATAGCGTTGCAACGGCGGATATGCACTCGCAACTGACCGCAGTCGAACGCACACAGATGGGTGCAAACCAGGTATGAAGGATATATATATATTAAAATACCAAACACACAC